ACTTATTGAATAGGTCGGCGATTTCGGGAGCTGTGTCCTGATAATGAAATGATGTACATGTATGTACAGCTGTACGTGAAAGCAGCTGTCCAAATGATCTAACCGTAGACGCGAAACATGAACTGTTTGCTAGGACGACAGTGATTGCTAGGAGTGGACGAGGGGACGACACAAATTTGTCGCTGCTGCCGGATGCTTCGGTGGATCGTTCCAATCGTGGCCATTTTCAATAATCTGATTTTTTTTTAGACTTTGCGTTGTGGCTGTTACTACTGTAGTTGTTGTTTCCACCGACCCCTACTGTGTGGCCGGGCTTCACTTAGCTCTAGCCGACTAATTTTTTCCATGGAAGAACAATTTTCCTGCTGTCTCGCGTATATTCTCGTTCTAAATAGCAAAAACGAGTAGCAAAAACCATCATCTGGCTAGAGTTAATTTGTAGCCTGCCACTAACCGCTCGGTGCGACATTCGAGGTTCCACATCCGTCGATTTCTAACCACCGCTAACCACCCACATATGCAAACGGTATACGGCCTGCTGCAGTGCTACTATTCTATCGCTTTCCGCCTATGAGAGGCAGGACGTCACTCAAAGGACAAACATACACGCGCGCGCGCGCGCGCGCACGTAAACCCTTCACAGAGCCAAGCGGACGAAAAAGACAAAGAAAAGTTAGTCGGCTACGACGACGCTAATTTTGTTTCAGTTTACCTAGACAGATATGGCGTTGTTGGTGGCCGTTGACAGCGGTAAACACCGTCGCCGCAGGAGGGGCAACAGTAACGAAACGACTTCTTATAAAGTGAAAAGATGGTCTACACACTCCATAAGCCTTACACTGTTTAATAACAAGCGGGTGAGATATCGCTTTGAGATTCAAAACGAACTACTATGTTACAGCCGGGTATTATCAAGCTAGAAAGTGGTAATTGGAATCATCACTAAGAGCATCTCGTTTAGCGCTGACGTTCTAGAACAATATGTGTAAAGGTAAAATTCTCCATAGGTGTACTTTGGCATACTGCGTTCAGTCCGACCATTATCATTTCGCTTGAATAAAATCGTATTGTAAATTGGCCAGATTTTAGTATACTAGTTACAAAAGCATTGGACAAACGTGCATATATTTGCTTTGTACGCGAGGCAGTCGAGTAAACCTAATATATAAACGTGTTTGTTTGGCCATTGGGAAATACGATCCAGTAATTGACGAAATACTGCTACGAGAACAAAGCCTCGTCTTGAACGCCCTCTTCGTACGAGCTAATCGCTGCTGGTGTAAACCAAACTCTAGTAGGCGGCCTCACTGTTACATAGCGTAGGATTTTTGGGCAAGACCACTCTGTTAATACGTGTAAAGTCACGCGTATAGCGTACTCGTATGATATCTGCTACACCAACAGCTTCTTCAGCAACGCCATCTTATCGATGAAGAAAAACAGAAACATGACAAGCAATCATCTTCACGACTGTTAATAATCGCGCTGCTGTGGGTTCGGACTTCCGAAAATAGTTGTACGGCGAAAGGGTGAGCCGTGGGCCTCTAAGCCCTTCTATTCAGCACGAACGTTATTGCATACAATTTTTAAAAACCTGTAGTGTATAATGAGTAGGGAACAATGTGCTGGTTAGCAGCCATGTGAACGTATGTGGAAAAAATGAATAGAACGAACCGAATTCGTATATATTGGAATGGCCGAACCGTCATTGTGTGACTGGCCATCAGACGGTAGAAATCATAGATTGCCTTCAACTCTTCGAACAGTTGAACATTTCAACACGAAGCGAGCCACCATTCACAACCGTTTACCCAGTTGAGGTGCGTCACATTTAGGTATGCGGAATCAGCTAGGATACATGCGCATAAACAGCCATATAGGATATTCGGCTAAAGTAGCTTAAGACGCAATGCATCGGTCATACCCTTTCACACCTGTTTCGCCCTCGCCGCGCGCCCTCACCATCAAATCTATGATGATCATGTAGTAAGCACAAATTTTCATAGGGTCATATGACGTAATATGATGGCCTGTTTCACATCTAAATGACGTCTCATCACAGAGATCGATGCACCACAGCGCCAAACGCATCTGTTCAAGTCCTTCCCTTCCCTTTCGTAGTCTGAGTGAGTACATGTATATGGGGAATTACATAGAGCAATGTGACCAACATTGTATATGGCAACATGAGATTAAGTACGATAAGAGTAACTATAGACCGTATTAGAAATAATCAGAAAAAGGAATTGAACTGTATCTCAAAACTTCTCAGTATCTGAACAATAATTTACACAGATAATTAAGTTGTTCAGCTGCTGTTGTCTGCTGTTTGCATATTGTTTTCCTTAACAGAACAACAAATGCAATCGTTATACCCACCAGGATACAACCGGGTGCTGCTGATACTACTAATAATATTTAGTTCTATAACATCTGTATCTCTATGATGTAGGACTAGCAAATGATCAGACGATACGGAAAGATAACAATTATAACGAAAGCTCGCGTAGCACACTTACGCACATCGGCTCAAATCATCCCAAAAAAAAACGCAGAAATGGGTTAGAAGGGAATAAGACAGCACTGAATTAAAAATAACGTATTGTTTATAAAAAAAAAAAAAAAAAAAAAGCAAATAAACAATGACGATGTTGCAATACAATAAATTGCTTGACCCAAAAAGCACTTCGTCTCACTCAAATCAGTCAATATTATCAGTCCTCACATTTTGACTTTTACTGCTGCGTATTGCATTGATTTTGTCGCATGCCCCCTGCTTCTACTACACCCCGTTACCCTTTCTTTTTTTGCGCTTCCATCACGAACTGCTGTTGCTATTGATTGCATCAACGTTTTGTATTGTAACGTCATCGTTACCCGGGAGCATATAATTGCAATTGTCGATGCTATTACCCTTAATTGACACCTGCGAGCGATAAGTGATTTCATCACTTCAGCGGGTCCCCCCACCTTCGTTAAACATTTCACTTTCGTCATTACACGCCCCACATGTTCTTTGTTGGATTAACAAGACACTGCAGCTGCTGTTCAACAACGGGGTGTTGCTTGTAAGCTTTAATCATAACCAGCAGAAGGTAGAAGAAAAAACTAACAACAAGTAAAAAAAAAAGTATATAATGCATAGCGTCAATTCTATTTGTGTCCGTTGCCGTCGGCCACTGACCACTGACCACGTATAAACGGAATAATGTCAACACAGAATTACCAGATGATAATGCATGCTCATTTGCGCGACGATTATGGTTACCTTACAAAAACGCGAAGATTAACGCTCGAGTGCCCGGAACCATAGGTCGAGTACCAAAGAATCAGAAGGCCAGAAAATAGTGATCTAACAGTGTCCTTCAAAGCATGCGTGAATGTCTACCTGTATAATGTCCCTGTGTCCGTCTTGTTTTACTGTCTCTGTACAAGGACGCATCTGCCCTATGCTATATTGTTAGACGGTGTCCTGCACCGGAAGCATAAACATCTGTTAGTACGTGTTCCCTTACCGATCACTGTTGGTGCTACTATTCGCGGCTTCGATATTGTATCATATGGTCACATGGAGGAGCCGAGTGCTGCATAGGCGTCCTGAACGACATTATGTCGCCCACCCATTTATCATTTTTACTTACCCGCACGAGCCAGTCAGCTTAACGTGTGATTGGTGACATATGAATCGGGTGATAACAGTATCGCCGCCGCGAACCTCGACATCAGCTAACACAGTGCCGATTAATAGAAATCTAACGAGTATATTGCCGGGCTCTTGTTAACCGGCGACCGTGTGCCTGGCAATGGCCTGACAATGAAGATTTTAATGGCATATTTGTTAGGTGTTGACGTCGGGGAGGTGGTCTCTCAACATATATTACATATATGCGTCTATACGTATTGTAGATGTCCCTCTGGGGGTACCACTGCTGCAGCCGTGACGCAGCGAATTGGGTCAGGATTTTATCGATCAAACCAGTCATGGCAGTCAAGCTAGGTACATCAATAACGCGATCAAGGAACGTGCCGCAATCATCAAAAGTATCCCCATTGAACAAGTTGTCTGCAAGCACATTTAGATGGACGTTGGATGCTGAATATATATCTACTAAGACAACGATGCAACGAGCAGTCTCAATGGTGACGACCAGGGATGGACTCTTTCAGAAGAGCTGAGCAAGACGACAACAACAAGCGCACAATCTTGGATTATTACTTGAAGCGATAACATGTTCCAATGAATTAGATATTCGACCGAATTCAACACCTTTAGTAAAATACCGAATAAACGCCGTACTAAAAGAACCATATAAATGCTATGTGGTCAGTCGGTCGCTTTCATGGCTGAGTTCACAATGACACAAATTGATTCATTTAGCTATACCTTAGTATATTTATTAGGCCTTGCTGGTCTGGACGATCATGTCTTCTCAGCGTGGTCTTTTGGTCATCACTATCTTACAAGCGCATCTTTGCATAATAGTGCAGAGCAGGCTCGAAAAACGTCAGTTGTTCTCAACCGCACGTGCCGTCATTAGTTAGCACTATATAATCAGTCAGCTTTCACAAACGATATGGTAGTAGTATATGGATACTGCCGTTAATAATACCGATAAATCTATTACATTGTTTGACTCGGAAGTTTTCATTCGATTAAATGTCAGGGGAAAAGCGGCCCTCTTCAGTACCATACTGCCTGTTCAAACAAAGAGTCTCCTCATCGTTGATATAACGTCGCTAAGTGAATATAGTATATATTATTGGCTTGGCTCAAGGAAACAAGCGCTGCATAACTATATAGGATTAAAATGTAAGTTTAAAGGTACTTTGATATATATATATATATATATATAGACAATAAGGTATAGGCAAAAATATGATCTTGTAATACATGAGCGTATCAGTGAATTATTTAATTTGCATAACTCGCCAAGCTCTAGCAAGTTTGCTGGCAACAAAATTTATGAAGTATCACCCTTCTCCCTTTCTGGATATCTCACTATCTGACATGTCCTGTTAGGTACAACATGTTGCATGCAATAATTCGCATGGGATCTCTGTTTGTACATCTGTAGTTCCACTTATCGATTTTAGGAGTCGTGTCCTCGAACAGCCTCGACTTGGTCGGGTGGCCGCAGATTTTCCTCGGGACAGAGCGGCTGATCAACTTAGCAAGAACACACGACACACCATCCCTGCGTCAACGACGCATCGCAATATCGCTGATGCGTCGGCAGCTCTATATTCCACAATACCGACGAACTCAAGCACAAATAAAAGCACATTATCCGCTATTGGAAGGCACACAGTGTTATCCGACTATGGAAGCACAGAATCACTACTTCGAGCAGCTTAGCTTTTGTTTGAGCGGCATTTTTCTCTATGCACCGGAAAGTTGGCCAGGCCGCGTTGCAGGCTACAGCCTTAAGACGCCGCTAATTCACTACGAAGACACTACACAATACGCGTCGCACACAATCTTACACGTTTCTTCTTTAGCTCACTCTCGTTGACCACAACGTACAGTTTCAAGATACCAAATGAACATTCGCTTACCTGCAATGAGATGCACAAAGAAATATTAATTAGTAGTTAGAAGCGTTAGCTCGAACAAGGGATGAACACTGCTGTTTCCGAGCGGTTCCATTCAGGGGAAATACATGCGAAAAGGTGTTGTCACCTGATAACCTCGCATGGTCAAGTGAGCCTGAACAGAAAAACAAAGATCACGGCGGGGCAAAATCTGCTCGCACAATAAGTGACCGTACGATAATCGGCTTTCTTTCAAAACAAATCTTATTTCATAGTATAATAATTATAAGGCCAATTGCTGAAGAAGCTGATAAGTCGTGATATTAAACATAGTTTAGTGAAGGCTCGTTTGGATGAAAATCTGCATTAACATTAATGATTATTGATTTCTAAAGCAATTTCGAAATTATAATTCGAAATTGTCTTAAGTAGCTAACCGTCCGTCATAGCTGGATCGCGTCCGCTTCTCGTAGCCTACACAATTACTAATAGTACGGCTTCTTACTAAAACACTTAACGCTTATCGAATTAGTTGGCAGTTAGAATCACAATAATATCATAGGTTAATGATGTCATTTTTGTTAATAATGACAGTCATCTGCTATGGCAATAAACTTAATAATTGTCACTATAATGATCGAATGAGCATCTATTGCCCCTTCTAACAAAAAACCCGCAGCAGTCAAAAAACCAATGTAGCGACGACCTAGCTTACTGTGTACCGGAGAGTACCGATTCATTTAATGTTTAACCGGAAAAAAATTCTGTATTTTCTTGTAGAGCAATTCATTTTCCGTGTAACCTATTCAACATACAGCTAAGAAATACTTCATTATGTGTTAACTTTTTATATTTTTTTATTTCGTATTTGTGCGAATTCTGTCCGGCTTCTAATATTTGGTGAGATGCCATGGGCGTTAAAACAAACGGCGTTCATGTTATTACGAAATTTACTAAAATGTACGAGTCGTGCGCACCACGCCCTGTTCCCGTTACAGTGATTTCACTAACTGGCGTATCTTCGCGTTCGATCTTCTGCAACATTAAGGGTTTGACTCTTCAGAACAAGATGCCTCTTCCTTCAACACTATCCCCTAGCCATAGCAATAGTTTTCTGGAAACAGGCACTTTCCCCCGTTTTAATTCCTCGATACAGCGTACGTTATACTGCCCCAGCCGAACCGGTCGAGCACTTAGATACAACGAGTGGGCACAGTGCCCAATTGCGTCTTGCCCAACATTTATTTCTTCTACTAGGAGGAATCAATTCAGTCTCTATCCCCCAGAAACAGCAGCTCTCGCTGGTTGCATATTCACTTCGGTTCTATTGCTTGTTTAATGCCAGCTGAGGCTGCTTTACAGTTAAAGCAACAATACGACAGCTTACCCGTATATACTCAAATTATAGTTAGTTAAGAACAATAATAATTAATACAATTACGCAGCCTATGCATCGAGCACGGCCAAACTAGATCAGCGTGGCCAACATTGCACCCGTTGTTCTTGCAGTCGCAGCAACAACTGCTGTTACCTAGTCGAATGAACACACCCTCAGGCCCAGCAGGACACTCCCATTAAAATTCCGCAAATGTTACAATTGCTACTGCTGTTGCTAGCGCGGCTGCCGCTTGCGTCGTAGGCAGCCGACGAATGACCGCACACAAAGACAGCAAAAACTATGCGATCGCGGCAAGGCCAAAGGTAGCAGTGGCAGCAGCCACCGTCGCGGTATCGTCACGTGGCCGTTTTGCATCTCACATCCCGCCGAGAGGCGGCCAGCAGCAGTAGCAGCTCAAATCCTATTCTTTCTAACCGAGTCCTGCCTTTGTGCACGTCGTCCCTTCGACAGATTGAGCTGACGTAAACAACAAAAACGATGGTGCAGCGATGTGGCCAATACTATGACATAGTACGCTGAAAGGCAAAAAACGTGTACCGTTTTCAAAAGCGACATTGAAAAAAAGAGGTCCCATCAACAGTAACGAATTCACGCGCAGTAAAAAATCGGTGCAAAACAAGCGCTCCCAGCTGCAGCAGTAAATAGCAGGCCAAAGTGGACGGTGACCGCGCAAGGCCCTCAATAAAATCTCCTTTAAACGTAAAATTTGAGTGTATAAATAATATAAATTATTTTGCTATGTGAATCTATGTGCGCGCGTTCTCGCGTGTTTCTTGTCACGTAATAAAGCGATACGCTTCTGTGCTACAGCAGCTGTTGTTTCTGCTTATACTGGAATAAATCAGAAATTCCCTAGCAAACTCTAAATCTGGTGACGACGACAATAACCCGCCCTTTGGGACGCATAACTCAGTTTAACGATGTTAACAACGACAATAAACTATACCTACATACCATAACTGACCCAGACAAAAGTTTACAGCATGCATGTTATGAAATGAATGAACTTCTCATCATTTCACTTTTAAAACCGTGATCATCACACGAGGGAAATCTGAAGGACGAGGCTACGACTTTTACATAAGAAACAATAGCAAGACTGAAGAATACGAAAGACGAGCAAGTTTGCTGTCCACGTACGCTGCAGAGCAGACGGCTAAACACACCGATCGAGCAGACAAATACGTACGACGACCAAACAAACAAGCCAGCAACGAAACAATGAATACACATACTATGTATTGTGTTCTAGCAGTGGCCAATAGTTGTATGCTGTCATATAGTATAGGTTTGTAATACACGCAATAACAGATGGCGAGTTTTCTACAAAAAGAAGTGAACCGTTGGTCAGATTACCAGCGGCGCTGTCGCTGTTACCGTCGTCGTACCTGCCGCTTTCGTTATACTTGCACAATGATTTATGCCGTTTCTACAATGAGCAACAGTAAGCCAGCAAGCAGCGACTTGGGCGATATTGAACAAAAAAATGTTGACCAAGAACAGGCCTTCTGCAATTATGCAATCATTGCGGCTGAAGCAGCTGTAGTCAAAGCAGTAATTAGTTGCTGAGGATCAAATATTCATCCTTCTGCTACGACGAAAAGCCAATATGTTATTTACAGTATGTTATTTTTATATCACCGTCAACGCAAGCATCACCATAAGACGTTCTATCTAGGTGAACAATAATAAATAGAGCCTGCTAAGTGGCTGGTGCTCCTAATTTTATCATAGGTGCAATCATCGTTACTCGGCGGAACATCGGAACTCGCCGTGAAATCAAGTTTTACACAGTGTTTTTTTATAGAAAAATACCACAAAAATAACTAATTACTAATCACTGATTAAGTGGGGCAATAGTCGTGACGCTTTCTTCTCCTCGCGTTATGAAAATCAGTTGAATTTTCGTAGTACGTCAAACTCGTTCAGAGCATTTTCTTCTCTGATTTGCAGAATCTGTATCCGGATCACCACCGCAAGTGCGTAATAGCAGCAACAGCAGGCAAAAGAAAGGACGAAAAAACCTGACCGCCATGTTCATTACAACGACCTTACTATTTCTGGTAAAACTAATAGACCAGTAAAAGCACCAAGTATTTTCACATGATTTGAATACCGCACAGCTTACAGATCGATAAATATTAGGTATAAACCAAGATAATACAGTAACAGATAATAGATATAAACGCAGAAACAACCTTAGTAATTATCTCCAACATATGGCAACGTACAGGCCTGACACATTCACGTATTTGGTCCTATTGTGTCCGTTAAAACCGTTCAAGGCCTACAACTATTGAACGAACTGGCTAGAAAGAGCTCCTCGTAATTTATAGCGATCTGTCGTAAGTAAACAGCAATAATAGATACAGTTGCACACACGCACCTGCAGAAAATCATTCTCGAAAAATCTCAAGTGCTTTTCAAAAAACGCTCGGTTCACAAACAACAATAATGATGGCATTCGCACAAAGAATACGCAATAAAAAAAACAACGCGCTTTATCACAAATAAAAACACACTTAATAAAAATAGTATATTTGTACATGAAAAACACGCTTTTGAGTCAACGCCTGTTTAAACTGTAAACCTGAAGAAGATTCGCAAAAATTTAGTCTTGTAAAAATAAAATACAGTTGAGCGCTACTGTGTACAAAATATCGAGATTTGGCGAGCTACGCGACTATCCTGAATAGAAAAGCTGGCGGTGGCGAAATGCTATATACTCGTATACGTTGATATGACGATATCTTTTTCGTTGCGGATTTCCTCCTGTTGCAATAGGACTATTCAAATTGGAATATATACAGCGAGGATATATATCTGTCTGCACTCCTTCGAAGGCCAAACTCAGACGAATTGTAGATTACTGGAAATTCACAGCTGCCACAGTTGAATCGATTCATTTGTAAACGGATTATTTTTGATTCCTTGGAAATACGCTCCGCGAACATAGAGATAGCGCAACGCATGTCTATATCGGGTTGGTTACAATCATCTATAGGACAAAAGCAGACCGGCGGGCAGAAAAACAGATAATATTGATTGGCGCTCGACTGCAGTCGTTCAGTGTCCTCGATTCCAAAGGCTTCTTTCCTTTAGCCATTTGATATGCAGCAGAGGCGCTGCGGATTTGACAGATAGGCACAGGTATATAGGAGACCGCAGATGTGCTTGTTCACCGAGGTAAGAACGGCGGAGATCATGGTAAACGAGTGATAATATTTAACCTGGTCGAGGGTACGGTGGGGTTGTCGACAAGCGCACTAAGCCCCACAGAAGTTGTAGGTATTCACAGAATCATAATGCATTAACCCAGGCGATGGTTGTGACTAGAGTCAGGTTGCGGAGGACGCACGTTGAGTCGAAGCTGTACGCCCATTTAAATGGTACATGCAAATTTTCCTCGGACTACAGTTGCCAATGAGTACATGTGGTTAATTTCATACAAGCAAAAGTTTATATTAGTATTAATCAAGACATATCATTCATAAAAGCCACCATAATAATCACGACCTCTTATT